TGGGTTGGGCACACCTGCGGTCACCACTGCTATTCAGCTCCCACCTGTGTGAGTGGGAAGGCGGAGAGGGGGTTGGGAGGGAACTGGGAATGGAGGAGACCAAGATGGAGCCGGGTGTCTAACCTTGGGAGAGGGGAAGCAGCCCAGGGCCGAGCACCTTGGAGGTGGCCTCAGCCAGTGATATAGGGTTGCCCCCACTTAAGATAAGGAAACCAAGGCTTCGAGGGGTGAAACAATTTGCCCACTCCATCCATCAGGGTACAGAGAGGGGCTCCGTGTGCTTCGGCGCCAGTTACATTTGGTGATGCTGCATGTGCACAGGCACAATGTGTGTTCCTGCCCAGTTGTTCTCAGACCTGCATACATGTGAAGAGGTGTGTGCCTGTGGGTGCATGAGTGGCCATGTCAGAGGGAGAGGTGTGCTCATGGTAAGAGTGCTGTGTGGGAGTGCCCAAAGTACATGTGACACATGGTGTGCGACTGTGTGAGCACTCCCAGTGTGAATGTGGTCACACCCACAGGGAGGCACTGCCGACTTGCAGAGACAGCCTCACATTCATCCAAAATGCCCTGCTGCGGGGAGCTCAGGGACTGGTCATGGGGGCTTGCTCTCTTTTCCCAGGGTCAGAGGGCTCCAGGCTGGGCGTGAACTGTAAGCCAGGCTCCCTGGCCTTGGGTAGATGCCCACCCGCAGCCCTGCCACACCCTCTGTGCAAACGCAGGGCTCTGTGAGCTGGCGGCACGGGCCGGGCCGAAGCAGCACCACAACGAGGGCGGCACCACAGGCATCCCCGTCACAGCTCCCGACAAGAAAGATGCTTTGAACTTTGCTGGCATCGTCACTATTGACAGAGGGGTCATTGCCCAGGCAGAGCCTGCCCCGGGGCAGGGGGAGGCCGGGAGACTGCTCCCTGTAGATGAACATCTTCTAGGCAGAGTGGGGTCTGGGGTGGATTAGGGTTGGCTGCCTCAGCTGTGGGGAGCTGGAGGTGTAGGGCCCAGCACCCACAAGCTTTTTGAGTCCTATTCAAGTGTAAGAGGCTTAAAAAAAAATGATTGACTCTAAATTATAAAAAAAAAAAGAGAAATTGCGAAACTGAAATTAATAAATGTTATAATTAATGTATTCAGACTTCATTATTAAATTTGGAAATCAAAACAATTTTATTACACTTGAAATCCATTTGTAGGCTTGATTTCCTTATTTTGCAAGAATTCTCCAGTATGCACATGACTCTCAAGAAATCACAGCCAATTGTTAGACTTGTAGGGCAAACCACTCACCATGCAAAGTTATAAAGATCCTTCCAAAATTTTAATAGAAAAAAAATTATATTACTGTGGGAGTGTAGGACCCTTTATTCCATTATGTTGAAATGACTGGGGTGGGGTTTCTGAGGTCAGGCCTCGGAAGTGTTTTCACTGGGACGGGGGCGGGGTGGTGATATGGGGCAAGGACTAGAGCCACCTCATGTTGGGAAGCATTTCTGCGTGCCAGCTGCCATGCCCAGCACTCTGCATGCCTGCTCTCATGCAGTCCTTATTCATGCCTAGCCTATGCCTAGCTGGCGTCACAGGTTGGAGTTTTAGGTGCTCCAGCTGCTGGATAAAGGAGAAAGTGCCCACTGTCACAAAGACCCTTGTGCTGGAGGAGGACATCTCACTAGGAGCTGCGGTCAGTCTCCTGACGTTGCCAGAACAGAGCGCTAGTCCTGCTGCTGAGGTCTACAAGCAGAGCTGGCTTGTGCTTCTGGGTGACACCAAAACACACATGGTGATGTGTGTTTTGATGTCATCAGATGATGACACGTCCTTAAATGCTAGAATCATCCTGCAAGTGGCAAGGATGTTCCTAGCACAGAAGACACACAGGGACAGAGACCAAGTCACTCAATTGCCCCCATACCCCCTCCAGAGCAGTGCATGCTGAATGGAGAGGGCGTGAAAATTACTAAGCCCATTGGGGGCCAGCAGTTAGCTTAATGGCTATGTTGCTGGAGTCCCATGTAGTCGACTGTGGTTTGCGTCCCGGACCCGGTGGCTTAAAACTCACGCCGGGCGCGTGTGTGTGCGTGCCCAAGATCCCAAGAGGAGAACGGAGGAGAAGGGGTTGTGGTGTGGCCATCCCCCCTGGGGGGTGATTTCTTGCTTTCTGTCTCTCTGTCTCTCTCTGTCTGTCTGGTGAGCATACGCGCCCTGTAGCGAAAACCTCTCTCAAAAAAAAAAAAAAAAAAATTACCAAGCCCATTTACACTGCTATTCTTCTGACTTCCCTGCTCCCCACTTTCATTTTTGGAGCACTCGTAATTAGACTTGTGCTCACTTGACATGTCCACAATGCTGAGCCGCTGCACTGTGGCAGCGCAGGGGAGGCGAGTGCCACGGCCAAGGTCACTCTGCTGGCCTGATGCCGTGCCTTTGCTCCGAGTTTCTGCACCTTTCAGCCCTGCCCTCTGGCTGCATGTGCACCATGCCCTGAAGGGGCCTGGCACTTGGGAATCTGTCATCCAGTTGGCAGATGCTGAGGGCTGCATTAGGGCTGGGACAGTGGGGACAGCCAGGAGGGATGTGGAGGAAGAATTTGCAGAACTCTGTTACAGGCTGACTCAATAAACTCTCACAGCACCCTTACAAAGGCAATATTATTATCTGTTTCATAGGGGCAGAGAGATGAAAGCATCTGCCCAGGCCCACCCAGCTGGTGAGGGGGTGCAGATCCTAGCCAAATCTGGCTTCAAAGCTGCAGCCCTTGGCCACTACCCACTTCCCTGAGAAAACTTTCTGCAACTCCCATCTTAACTCTGCACTGTCTGAAGGATTAAAGCTACACTCCCTGAGCTGGCATTCAAAGCTCTCTCCTGCCCTAGGTTCTTCTGCCTTAAATGTCCGGCTCAGACCTACTACTACACACCCATCAAAGCCCAGTTTGCCCATCAAGCCCGAGTTTGCCTGTCACTGCAAGGTCTCCTTGACTCCTCCCCCATATGCAAACAGTTCCTAGGTGCTACCTCTTGAGTTGCACCCCTCTAAGCCTATGCCCACATTCTCCTTATCTTCCATGCAGCAAAATCTACTTTTCATCCTTCAAGTCCCAGTCAAACACCTCCTTTTTTGGAGACACCATTTTACTACACTGGGGCACTCACACGCTCTTCTCTGTATGCCCCCAGCACATCACGATTGTAGCTTCTGGCCCCAGTGATGCGGGACACTCCCAGACTTTGGCAAAGAACCTCCTATTTGGTATTTCAAAGCAAACATTAACACAACCATCACAGGAGACAGAGAATTGTGTCGAACTGCCTTCCTCCTGCCTCTTCTATGCGCTGTGTACTTTTATCCCTGAACTAATCTTGGGGGGGGCGGGGCGGGTGGCAGGGAGCGATGCTGCCTGCAGTCTCTTCAGCACAGGCTCCTAAAAACTCAGGCTTCTGTGTGGAGAACACCCATCCTGGTCCTGTGACTCTCTGTCTATGCACCTGCGTCCCCCCGGCCTTGCACTGATTTGAGGGGCAGGCACTGGTGTATGCAGGGGCTCAGTGAAGGCCTGTGTCTGGGGAGAGCGTTAGGGGGACTGAGGATAAGTGGATAAGAAACGATGCAGGTGATGGGGACCGCTCCAGAACAGAATGCCAGGGACTGGCACAGAAAGGCCACAGGCCTCTAGTCCAGTCTTGAAATGGCCAGGGGTGGTTTGCCAGGGTGACAATGATTCCTCTCTTTGGGAAGTGGAGTTGAGGAGGCCCCTGCTTTTCAATTCTCCACCGGGGGCTGATGCACAGTAACCACAACTGTGGTTGCTGACACGCACGAGTGCTTCACCTGGGCTGGGCACAGCTCACGGTACCCCTGCGTCTCCTTGCTTCCTGCTCAGTGCCACCCACAAGGTCCTATTTCTACCTTCACTTTTCAGATGAGGAAGCTGGAGTTCAGAGACATTAAGAGACTAGTTCGAGGTCACACAGCTCGTAAATGGCAGGGCAGGGGTGCGGCTCACAATAAGGCCTGGTTTGTAACCCTGTCTGCTTCTCCAGGACCTGAGCTTGAGCAGGAGTTTCAGCCAATGGCCTAGAGTTCCAGAGCTGGGGCTGAAGCTCCTGCCCCATGGGATCCATCTTACTTTCACTTCTACTAAAGGAGACAAAACAAACCTCTGACTGTTGGCTGGAGCTGACTCCAGCCGAGAAGGGGAAGCCATGTCCTCTGGATGCCTCCAGGAGGCGGCAGTTGGGGGTGGGGTGCCTTGTTACCAGAATCTGATGGACACCACTGTGGGAAGCGGGAATTTCTATGGCCTTTGGAACTGGGGGGAGAGGATGGTGATGGGCAGTTCCTGCAGGTCAGGGAGGAGCAGCAAGCCGGGTGGGAGGTTGTTCATCCCTAGAACAGAGATTCTGGCAAGAGCCTATGGAAGGCTTCCAGGTGACTGATCCTGCCCTCTGTAGGCAAAATTCCATGGCTGAGCTCAAGTGTATTTCTCTAGGGAGAAGTTTCGTAGCTTTATCCAGATTCTAAGAGAGGTTCATGACTCAGAATAGGCCATGGTGTTGTATCTCCTTGGTTCAAATCATGGCCTTCGGTGTCAAGAGCCCTGGGTTCATATCCTGGTTCCTCCCTGTACTAGCTGCATAACTGTCCGTACATACTTCAGAAACTGAGCCTCAGTTTCTCCATCTGCCAAATAGGAATAATGGCGTATTCCGTGAGAAAGCCCTGGGAAGGTGGAGGCATTTATGCCGACAGCGTCCCCTCCTACCCCTTTGCTTCCTGCAACCCCCGTCTGTTGGCAGGAATTATGATCTGCGTGGGCATCCTATTTGGCAGGCACAAGTGTGATATTATCCCTCCACAAAGCCTTCATTACGGTGCTGCTAACAATGCCACAGACAAAGCAGGGATGTCCCTGTGTGCCAGCCTCCAGGTGATTATAACATGTGGATAAATTGCCTTTTGTCTCGCTGGAGAGATGATGGTGGGAGGGGGTTGTGTGGGAGACTCACTCGGCCATTTTGCAGGAAACACAGGGAGGAACCGTGGGGAAGGAGCCCCATCTGGCAGTGGGGAACTGGGATTCCAGTCCTGGTTCTCTCACAAATACGCCATGAGTGTCGGACACGTGGGCCTCTCTGGGCCTCAGATTTCTCACCTGTTAAGGGAAGGCAGTGACTTCGAGATCACAGGAGTCTTGGTATTTCGTGTGGTACTTAATGACTCTTGTTCACTGACCAGTTTTTGAACAATAAAATGGCAGAAAACTACCTCGGGAAACAGAATCACCAGCGCAATGGTAACAATCTTTGGGCATGTATTTTGTATCTTTGGACTGCTTGGAAGACCCTTGGTTCTTTTTGCTTCACTAATAAACTTCAACTTGTCATTCAGAACCAAGTTAAATGTCAGTTTTAGCTTTGTAGTCAGCTGGACCTGGGTTCAAATTCCAGCTCCGCTAGTTACTTACTTAACGTCTGTCTGAATTCAGGCAGGCCCCTACTTCACCTGGCCTCAGCTTCATGATCCGCAAGGAAGGAATAACAGAGAGTATTTCAGAGGGTCCCTGCGAGGAGGAGCCCAGGAGACCAACTAAAATAATACCTGTAAAGTGCTCAGACCTGGAACCCAGTGAAAGCTCAGTAAGAGCTGTATTCTTATCCAGACAGAGTAAGAGTGCCTTCACATCATCAGATCTATAGCGCTAGGAAGAAAACCACAGGAGGCTGATGAGCAGGGGTGCAAATCCAGTTCCTGCCACATTTCCGGAGGAAGTTCTTTAACCTCACTGAGACTCGGTTGCCTCATTTGACAACCAGGGCTCGCACGAGTCCTCTTCTCCCCCTTAGCTGAGTGTCTGGTGCACTGTAAATGCTCTCTCCCCATCATCACCTTTATCCTCCTAGTCCCCAGGCCACCGGGGAAGCCAGCCATAGCCTCCCAGAGACTCCGCAACACCCAAGCCGGGGCCCCTCTGAGACCCCAGTCTACACCCTTCTTCCCATTGTCCACTTTACGGAGTGTACATTCAAATGAGGCTTGCGGTCTTGATTTTAAATTCTGTCTGGAACCCACAGGTTCAAACGCAAAAGGACCCGCTCTGCAAATAATCACTGGTGTGTGATATTTTTAAGAAGCCAAAGCCATTGTTTCTGATTGAAGGAAAGTTGGTGCTATTTTGAAGAGCAGCACGATTAAGCGGTGGCGTTATCTCTTTAACCATTGGGAATTAGACGCTGTTTGAAAGATTTGTGAGCTCTAGGACATTTGCCAGATGTGCTTGATTCGACATTTCAGACAACAAAGGGGATAATGTTGGCGGGAATCTTGACGGCATTTCTGATGATCAGGATATTCTTTGAGGATGGTACTGAGACCTTTCGGGGAAGAATTTCAGCTTTTACATAAACTAATTTGGGATGCTCACTCTCTGTCTTCCACAAAGCAAATTTAGTTCATTGTTAGTTGTATATGTTAAAATGGTTACGAGGGTTTTTTCTTTGAATATTAATAATGCGCCTTTCATCTGAGACACTCGCATGGGGTATCATTAATTGGGGGGAGGGAGTAAGGATTAGTGGTACGGTTATTTTGCACATGATTCCTACTGGTAATACTGAGGCAAGCACCAGCTACATGAAAGAGACCCACGTACGAACTGCCAGCTCGGCTCTGGGTTGTCCTTCCAGAGAGGGATAAAAGGGATGTGTGATGGGGGAGGTTCGCCTCTCAATTTCCCATCACATTAAAGGTAATAATCCTAGCCAACTGGGCCAGAAGATGGCACAGAGGTTAAGGTGGCTGGATCCCACAGGCTGATTGTGCAGTTCGAGTCCCAGACCTGGGGGATCAAAAATCACACTGGGTGCATGCATGTGCATGCCCCAAATCCTGAGAGAGTGGAGGAAAAGGGATTGTGGCATGGCCATCTCCCCTGGGGGATGACTTCTCACTGCCTCCCCACCCCTCTCCACTCTGTCTGAGCACACTTACTGTATAGCAAACTAAAAGAAAAAAAAAAAAAGAATAATCTCAGGTATCTTTGAATGCTTTCTTATTGGCTCAGTGAATAAAGGACATTTTTTATATAATTTTTTCAAATAAAATATCATTTCATTCTGGGGACCGTGGTATTTTTGTTTTTAAGTCTCCAAAATGAGTCATTTCATTTCTTTAGGAATCCTCCTGAGCTCCCTCGGGTGCCAGGAATGGTGCTTGGTGGGGAAACAGCTGTGAGTGGGATATGCTCCCGTCTAGGGGGATAGATGGATGAGCACATCATGAACTCGGAGACGAGGCTGGTAGGAAGGATGAAAAGAACGGCACTGGGAAGATGTGGGCTCAGACGTGACTCTGTCACTAGCCGTGTGAGCATAGCAAGTTATTAACCTATCTGAGACCAGGTGTCCTCATGGCAAACTGTCTCATGCAGACTTCCCACTTGGGATGGCCGGAGAGGTGACCTGTCTAGATCATCGGGTAGAGCCTTGGCAAGACGCCTCCACATTAGCTGTCCTCCTCTGACGCTGTCTTCCTGAGCTGTAGGCTAACAGGTCAAGTCCACACCATTCTCTTTCTTCTGTTACGTGCTAGTGCCAGGCGCTGAGAGGTGAGGTTTACGATAGGTGGAGAAAGGAGGGAAGGGCATTCTGTGCTGGGGGATTATGTGGTGAGAATAGGAGCAGGAAGTGCTGGACGTGTTTATTAACAGACGATAGCTAACCTGGGAGGCTAGCACAGGGTGGAAGAGATGAGGAGGCTGGAGGGTGACCTCCAAAGTGAATCTGAGGCCCCAAATGCCATGTGGAGACCTGAGGACCCCAAGGTTTCAGCAGCATTTCGTTTCTGAAGCAAAACCCCTGAGGGGGCAGGAAGATCTAGCATACCCAACCACATCTGTCTCTCTTGAGACTTCTTTTGTCTCAAGCACCCAGAGAAAGCTTAACAAATGCCAGGGCCTAACTCACTTCTATCTACTCCAGTGTGAGTTAATAATCATCACCAGAATCACAGCCACAGCCATAGACGCTGATCACCTGGCTGGGGACAGATGCTCTGTTATGTATTCTGCATTCTTCTTCTTTTTAAACTTACTGTAGAGCACATGTGCTTGCTGGAGGGAGAGAGAGAGAGAGAGAGAGAGAGAGGAAGCATCCTTCGGGAGGGAGGGGTGTCATGCCTTAATCTCTTCTCCTTCTCCTCCATTCTCCTCTCAGGATTTTAGGCATGCACACAAATGTGCCTGGTGCGTTTTCAAGAAGCCAAGTATAGCACTTGAACCACATAGTTGGCTGTGTGAGATCCAACTTCCTTAACCATCACTCCATCTTCTGGTCCAGATACCTGGGGTTATACCCTTAACCAATACTCCACCTAGGTAGCCTATATTCTGCATTTTCTTTCTTTTCTTTCCTTTCCTTTCCTTTCCTTTCCTTTCCTTTCCTTTTCTTTCTTTCTTTCTTTCTTTCTTTCTTTCTTTTCTTTCTTTCTTCTTTCTTTTTTCTTTTTTTGTTGAGGTTTTTGCCATAGGGAGCATGCGCTCACCAGACAGACAGAGAGAGACAGAGAGACAGAAAGAGAGAAATCACCCCCCAGGGGGGATGGCCACACCACAATCCCTTCTCCTCCATTCTTCTCTCGGGATCTTGGGCATGCACGCACACATGCCCAGTGTGAGTTTTAAGCCACCGGGTCCGGGACGCGAACCGCGGTCGACTACATGGGAGTCCAGCGACATAGCCATTACGCTACTGCTGGTCCCTATTCTGCATTCTTAATCTCATTTTTCCTAACCCGACTCCTACAGACAGGTACTATCACAATGCCCATTTTACAGATGAGGAGACTGAGGCTCCAAGAAGAAAGTAACCTGCCCATGATCACACAACTAGTCTGTGGTGGATCCATGGTTAGTAGCTAGTCAGAGATCTAGATTCCAGGCCCTGGGCTTTTAACTACCACACCACCCTGTCTCTTTGACCACTCTCACCTCCCACCTCAGTCAAGCCTCCTGAGGAGCAGAAGGTCTGAACACAGGCTCGTTTTGTTTTGTGTTTGCTGTACTGATTGAAATATACACTAACCATGCATAGTTGCTGTCATGTATGGTTCTATGGCCCAACATAGGCAGTAGCAGGTGTAGGGGAAAGACCACTGTAAGAGGGGGGTGGCTTTGGTTCCATCTTCGCTATCACTGTCTATCACTCGTCACTCTAAGATCTAGTTTCCTAATCTCAGGATGAGCCTATTGCCAGCTCACTGGATGCCCTGGAAGTTTAGAAGATGTGGGGCTCATGAGCTCAAAGGCTTTCAACGGGTTCTAGCAATGACTGATGCTGCTGGGAGTCAGAGAGCAGGGAGCAGTGGGGACCTGGGCAGTGCACAGCCCCACCGAGGTGCCCAAACCCAGGCTATTGTAAGCACTGGGCCTACCAAGTTCTTTACAGACCAGATTTGGCCTGACAGTCACTGGGTTGAGACCTCTGAGATGTTAAGTTGTTCTGAAAGCTTGGAGATGTGTGGGAATACACTGGATTGTTTTTGGTGTTCAAAATACCTGGCTGTTACATGCCAGGTATTGAATTCTGTGTAATTAGTTGAAAAATTCAAGGGACTTGAGAACAGGTGCTCTGCCTGGCTGCCTGCTTTTTCTTTTATAGGCATTTCATCAGCTCCACCTTGCAGGACCTACGTGAGATGCTGGGGACACACTGATGAATCGGATTTAGTCGCATGGTCCCTGCCCTCGAGCAGCTCCCAGACTGGTGGGGGAGGTGGGGAACTGGAGATACGCCTACTGTTATGGGCTAAGTACTGGTAGGGAGGTTGTGAGGGCTCAGAGCAGTGGAGAGAGGGAAGCTGCCAGGACCAGTGGCCTACTAGTGGCTGGTCCCCACCCTTAAGAGGGTTGTGAAATAATTAAATACACAGCAACCAGCATTTGAAAAAAGCCAATAGAATAGAAACTATCATCGAATATTACATACAAAAATACATACACATGTGTATGCACACTGGGTGAGATGTCAAACATTCCTCACTGTGAGCCAAGGTTCGAGGGTCATGGTCAGAGACAATATGTCACCTTCCCTGATTCCCAAAGCCTGGCATGTTGTAGGTGTTCAAAGACATTCTGAGGAGTGGAAGGAGAGATTTCAATTCTCATAGCAAACAACAAGGCAGGTACCTTCTTCCCTAGCTATGAAAGGCGTTCTCTAAAATCCAAGTCAAATAAACCGAGTTTGTCAAGCACATCTGCAGTTCAGCACTTTGAAGTCTAGCGGTCCAGAGCTTTCCAGTCAGGTGGAAAGCAAGCTTCTCTGAGTGAGGAAAATCAACCAGTGGGGCCAGGGAAGGAGCTGGGGCAATGCGGAGGCTTATAGGGAACTGCAAGTGACTCAGCTAGCAGTGCACTGGCCTGTGACCTCCTGTAAAATAGGCCTCTGACCCACCTGGGTGGCACATGCTTTGTAATGGCAATGGCTGAAGCTGCCGTGTTTACTCTGGAATGGCCTTGGTCACCAACCTCAGGCCCACGGGTCAGCAGCCTGTGCCTTCAGGGTGCCAGCAGGAAGCACTATTTATGGGGGTAGCCTAGAGTGCAGGGGAGGAGGGGCCCTGGGGGAACAGAAGGTGGACAGAAGTCTGGATCAGTCCCTCGCAGGGTGAGGTGAGTCAGAGGTAATGGCTAGGTGGCCATGAATGAAACTCCCTTTTAGTGGTTTTCAGGACACTCGAATTTGATCTGTCCTATAATATCAGGACCAAAATATCCCTTGGCTACCTTTCTTTTCCATCAAAGACTCAAGGCTGGATGGACCCTAGAAATTATCCAGCCTGACTCCCTTATTTTCTAGATGAAGAGAAAAGGGCCCAGAAAGGGAAGGTACCAGCCCAAGGTCATCCACCAGGCAGCCTGAGAGCTAGGGCCAGGACAGGCTAGGGAAATCCAGGTCTCCATCTCCCCGTGCCAGGCCCCTTCAGTGTCCCTCTCCCACCCTCTCACCAGAAGGAGCTCCTACCTACTCTTACTCCTTTGACTTCTATGTAACCAGAGAAGTATTTCTGAAATACAAACTAGCTACTATGCTTCCTGCCTAGAATTTTGCCTTGATTCCTG